AAAAAAAAAAAAAAAAAAAAAAAAAAAACATGTTAGACAAAGAAATAAAGAAAGAACAAAAGAAACAAAGAAAGAAAGAGACAGACAGACAGACAGACAGACGGACAGACAAACGGACAGACAGACAGACAGACACATATACACACACACACACACACACACACAGGCATGTTGGACCATCAAACAACCTTTCATTCTGGTTCATCCACTTACAGACCAGACAGACAGATAGACAGACAGACAGACAGACAGACAAACAGACGGACAGACAGACAGACAGACAAACACACGGAGAGACATACAGACAAACAGACTGATTGACTGACTGAATGACCAGACAAGGCGACAGACAAACAAGCTGACAAACAGACAGACGGACAGACACACACACAGACACAGACACACACACACACACACACACACACACACAGACATGTTGGACCATCAGACAACCTTTTATTCTTGTTCATCCACTTACAGACCAGACAGACAGACGGACAGACAGACAAACAGACGGACGGACAGACAGACAGACAGACAAACAGACGGAGAGGCGTACAGACAAACAGACAGACATACAAACCAGAGCAGACCGACAGACAGATGGACAGACAGACAGACAGACACAACAGACGGAGCAGACAGGCCACAAAACTGTTTTGTGTTGTCCATGCATATCTTTGACCTATGCACACGTGGAAGAGGGAGAAGAGGGGTTTATGCTAACAAACCCAGCATATAAATTACAGGTCACTGGATGAAAGAATGTAGAACCAGAGAAAGGAAACGGCAAACACACTTAGTGTACACTCACATACGGATACTGTGATGGTTTTCGCACATGTCCACAACAACAGAACAGACAGGCAATGGGACCTCCACCAAACCCGTGGCAAGAAAAACAATGACAACAACCCCGAATTCAACGAGTGGCGTACTTGTACCCAACTTCCGTACACATACAATGCACCATGCACCTACAGACCTACACAACCGTCCAAACGGCAAACATCTACGAGCGCATTTTGGTAAAGATCCAAAGTACCTGCATTCACATGGAAACCTACAGTAAGTGGACCAAAGGTTAGGACACACATTAGATAGACCTCCGGGTGCCAACGAGTCTTCAGAAGGGCGGAAACGAAAAACAAGTACAAGGCTGAAAGACCCGGGACTACGAAAGTAGAGACAACTGGCAACAGGTTCCGCCGTTGGAGCCCACCGAAAGGCCGATCATTCGAAAAGAAAGAAAGAAAGAAAGAAAGACTTGAAGAATGGAAGAAAAAGAAAATGAAAATGAAAAAAAAAAAAAAACAAAGTAAGAAAGAAAGAAAGGAGAACAAGAAAAAAACAAAAATATACGGGGTTCACTACTGCGGGCCAAAATCAGTGACAGAGTCGTTTTTCAATACCTTCATGTCCCCCACTAGTGAAACTGATCTTTCTCTCTCTCTCTCTCTCTCTCTCTCTCTCTCTCTCTCTCTCTCTCTCCTATTCAACCCACCTAACACCACGAAGACTTCCACGGAGTCCACGATTCGATAGGACAACCGTTATGCAGCACACACAGTAGAATTATCAAGCTGTCTTTTTTTTCGCAGACCCCCCCTTACGTGGCACTGCTTTCCTCTTCTTCGCCCCTGCTCTGCTGCCATCCCTTTCCGCCTGTGTGGCGTCCATCCGTTCTTGTCTCTCCTCAGCTCTCGCCTTCTCATCCAACATACCTTGATATTTCTCAACCTAGTGAGGCTTCGACAACCTATCCACCAGTCTCATGTCCCTGACCTGGATCGTCACCCTCTTCGAATGGATGGCCACCTCGTTGGTGTTCTCGAAATTGGTGACCAAGTACGCCTCGGCAACCTCCATCAAAGCACGCACCGCCGTCATCTGAAACCTCACGCCCATGCCCGCAATGTCCCGCTCTTCAACCTCACGCACGAGACGCAAGAACGGCCCGAAAGCCAAGCAAAGGTCGGTGGATCGTTGCAACTTTCTGATTTTCGACAAAGTTGCCATCCTGGGGCGTCGACGCGTCTGGGGACCTGAGTTCGTGCACCTGTGGTGTCTCCGATCCCTGGCACCGCCTTTAGGTTCACCTTCTTTCTGCCTGCGGGCGTCTGCCCACGTGGAGGTCCCGGCGTGCACTTCTTCTTCTTCCACGGGCTCTGCGACATCGCGACATCGCTCGGCCCGCCCATGTCACCCTGTGCTGCAGAGCACCCCCCGACGCGACCAGGACCACATGGGCCCTCCACCTCAGCAGACAAACGGAAAATTTCTGAACGTTTCTCTGTCCTCTTGCCTGCCTGCGCTGAACCTGACAAGCCATCCTCCGGCATATACCGAATGTCTCGCATGAGTCCATCTGAGTAGGTCAGATGGAAAGGCACACCAAGCAGGTCTCTGAATCTCATGGTGACGTCTCCACCATGCTCATATGTCATGGGACATACGACCGGGACCCAACCAAGAACGGTCGTGCAACCGTGCCTGCGGCGAATGCGAGCCATGTATCTGTTCTCACCGTCGCCGTGCTCTTGGGCAGTGCAACTCCCCTCAACCATGGACCACATCTCCTGGTCAGCCATGGAGTCATAACCCGCGCACACCATCTGACGCTCCTCCTCCCTTATCTTCTCCCAGCACCGCTTTGCGTGTTCAACCACCAGGACGTGGTCCTTTACATTCACATTGAAAATTGAGACACGTGCCAGAACCACGAGGAACTGCCAATGCTCCACAATGCCTGCTTGCATTCATCTCAATGAGAGCCAATGCCCTAATTGCAGTCTTGCTGCCATCGTCACCTTGCCATCAACCACTGCAAGATGCAAACATCCTGGGACCCAATTGACACGATAGCCATACTTTTCAGGCGCCATATGCTGCTGCAACTGTCCTTCAAGGATGACACGGGCCCCAATGTCCATGGCAGACAGAACGTCACTCCTCATTGTGACATGGTCTCATATCTGCGAGCATACTCCATCGTACGTAGCTTCCTGCCCTCTTGCATGCGTGTATGTGCTGCCATCCTCACTTGTGAAAACTTTCCCTTCAACCACCTCCGAGTCCACAGGGTTCCGAAGCGGCGGGAAAAAGCAGCCAGCAGTGTGGGTATTACATGCCATTGCCTTCTTCTCGTCTTCCGAGACCTCCCTGTCGAGGTGCCTAAAGAAGAAGTTGCCATTCACATAATGCGTGCTCCAGACAGTTCTCATGGCATCACGCATCATCATCCTCACACGGCCACATGGAATCGGGATCACACATGGCACCCAACCCCACCTAGGATCCCTCCTCGCATCGCTCTCGTGGCACGCCGTACTCCCTGTTGCGTCGTTTCCGCCAATCACCCATGCCTTTCCGCAATCAAAACTGTCGTACAAAAAATCGTTCACCTGAACTCGCCCTGCGCCTCCAGAACACGCCACACGTCCATTGCATATCGTGTTTTCACCTCCGTTGTTGCCCCATCGTTCAACCTTTATAGTTTGTCAAACACGATTGCTAGAGTCACGTTTCGCCATGTATTCTTTTTGGGGGCAGGAAATGGAACCCATGTCCCTTCGACTTTGAACGCAAAGCAGGGTGCTCCTCCAACAATACCCGGTTGAACACGACCCGGCACCCAATTGATGTCATATGAGTACTCTTCTCCTGCTGATGTCTTCACCACATTTTCATCTTTCACAATACACCCTGTCAGAGATTCCCTGCTTCCCAGACCTCCCTCCTCTCTCTCTTCCCCGACCGTTTCCGTCTCACAAGTGCTCCCTCCTGCATCATTCTCTATTTCATCACCATCATCCCTCATCTCTGCAGTCTGTGCACATATTGTCGCAAGCACCTCTACACAGTCTGCGTTGTTCCCTCCTGCCGACTTCCCTTTCTTGCTGTCATCTGCAAAACCCTTCAGAATGTCATCCGTCTCCATGGCGCATGTCTCTCCACCGTTGACAGTCGATGCAATCGCGGGTTCCATCAATTGCATGAGACACCACATACATTTATGAGAACACGTAGCTGCGACATGGCCCCCTCACCCGAGAGAGAGAGAGAGAGAGAGAGAGAGAGAGAGAGAGAGAGA